GTGCAGGGCAGGGGGTCTCTGCCAGGCTCAGCCACACCTGGGGGACCCACGGGGAGGACACGCACAAGCAAGCAAACTCGATGACCATCTGCCAAAACGGAGCAGAAACATTCAGCTAGAAAACGGTGTGAGGAGACAAGGGGCCCGGCCCCGCTTGTTGCTCTGAGGAAAGTAGGAAGCGCAGCACCAAGCCAGCCAGCCACGCAGAACCCCCAACCAGTGCTCCTCACGGCAGGTATGTCAGCAGGCGCCTGGCGCCCAGACCTGGGCCCCAGGGCCCGACACACCCACCTGCACAGAGGCCGGACTGTTCTGGAAAAGCCAAGAAGCAGGTGCATCAGTCAGGGTTCTGCGGAGAAACCATCAATGGGATATGTGTGGACAGAGAGGTTCACGTCACAGAATTTGCTTGCACAACAGTGGGGACTGCAAGTCTAAAATCCGCAGGGCCAGCAGCTGGCAGGGGGTGTCTCTTCTCGGGGGACCACTGTCTTTTTTCTCTTAAGAAAGCCTTCAACTGAACGGATGAGGCCCACCCACACCACAGAAGACCCTCCCCTTCACACAACATCAGCTGATGTCAATGTTAATCCCATCTGAAAAATACCTCCTCGGAAACATCTGGTGTTGAGCAAACATCTGACATCTGGGGACCATGGCTTGGTCAAGTTGACCCATAAAATTAACCCTCACAGAAGGGACCCGCAGGGCTGGCCCCTTTCCCGCCGTCTCCACGGGGCAGGGGGTCACACTGCACGGTGGAATCCACAGGCGTCCCAAGAACTGGGGGTTAATGCGTTACAACGTGCGCATGTGCCGTCAGCCGACTGAAGAGAGGACAATTCAAACCAGAGAGATCACGCGCCTGGACGCCTCCTGCAAAGTCTGCTAGAAGAACACAGGCCATCCTCACTTCACTTCCTCCATGTGAGGCGTGGGGGTCTCTGCTCCTACGGAAACATCAGCCACCGAACAGTCACCGGGTCTCCAGGACTATCTAACCCAGGGGACAGCGTCCCCGGGGAAAGTGCTCACTTTACAAAACCCAAAACCAGCACTAACTTCTGCTTTGTTCTATGACATTCTGGGTCGACTCCCGGGCGCCTGATGTGCCACCCAAACCAGGGACCACCCAGGGGGCCTCCTGAGCCAGCGGCGACACCCCCAAGGGACAGGTGTCCTCCAGCCGCACCTGTGGCGCCCCCAGGCAGCTCACTGGGCGCCGAGGGGAAGCAGGGCTGGCGGGCCTGACCCATCTGTCTGGCAGGTGTGGCCAGGGGGCCGCACAGCAAACAACAGGGAGCCTCTGATGCCTGCAAACCCCGAGGTCCCGTGTGACCCGCCCGACCTGGTTGATCACAGAAGAAAAGGGGAAAAAATCCAAGTTGCCAAGGAGACCACTTCAAATACATTTCCGGGAGTGTCGGGTTACATTCCAGAGCCTGCACACCCGCCCTGATGTGTGTGAGCCCCCACCCCCCTCAACAGGGAGGCCCCGGCCCCTGGACAGAGCCGTGGCGGTCACCATCACCCCACCGCCCTCCCCCTGCACCATCCCCTGGCTTGCCCCCAGCACACCCTCAGAGCCGGTCCCAAGAAGAGACACGGACAGCCGCTAAGGGATGAGCAGCAGGGACGCCCCCCAGAGCCAGCACAGCACCGGGAAGGCCCCTCCCCAGAGTCACCTGAAGGCAGCAGAGAGGGAAGAGATAAACGTGTAAGACGAAGGGAGCAGCACTCACTCTATTTCTCGTGCCCTAGACGAGAACGAGGCGTGCCCGGAGACTCTGCGGCACCCGTGCACACGCACACGCAGCAAATGCCCGCCCGGCACTCGGGAGCAAGGAGCAGGACCCCGGCCAGTGGGGTGTGAGGCGGACACTGCTGGGCTGTGCGGCCTTGGCTGTGTGTCCCCCGCCCCCAGGAAGGGATGCTGAGCACTGACCGGACCCCCTGGCGGGGGCCTGGGAACTCACACAACGCATCCTGGGCTCGGAAAGCGCCCTCTCACATCATCAGGATGAACACACTCGGTAACGGCTCCCTTCCCTGGCGTCCTGTGAGGGCCCCTGGCCAGTCTGTGCCTCTCACATGCATTTTACACTCTTTCTATCCGTGGCCTTGGACCTGGCTGGGAGGCGGCCTCGGTCACAGTAAATAACGGACAATTGTCTGGGCTGGCAAGAGTTACTCCCTCAGCTTTGAGACCACGAGCACTGAGGCCACCAACCTCAAAGCCTGCAAGGGCCTGCCGAGCAGGCTCTAGGGCTGGGTGGGGACTGAGGCTAAAAGGGCCCTTTCCCACCCCAAGGGGCCCGCCCCTCAGATCTGCTGGTTGTGGCCAGATAGGGATACAGGTCCAAGGCGGTCAGGTAGCAGATTTTTAAAGGGAAGAGATCCAGATTGTTATGGGAAATATCTTGATTTTTAAATACTGACAATTAATTCAAATATTTTTTTAAAAAATACCACACAGGCCAATACAAACGCGTCTCTGGGCCAAATTGGCCCTGTGAGCACCAGCTTCTTATTCATGAATTTAAACCTAGAGCAGGAAAAGATCTGTGCCTTTAAGCTAGCATCACGTCCTCCCCTTGGTTATCAGAGCCGCCCGAGGGTGGCTCCACACGGGCATCACTCGTGGTGACAGCTGAGGAGGACAGACAGGCAGCTCCAGGGCTCAGGGACTCCTCTCACGGGGCCTGGCCAGCCTGGCCGGGTGCTCTCACTTGGGGGTCTCTGCGGGCGCAGGCAGGTGGCCGCTCTTGTGGAGATGCAGCGGGCTGGACATCCAAGGGGGGGCGTCAACTGGCCGCTGAACTCGGAGCTCCAGGCCCCACGATAAGCCAAGCCCTGCGGGCATCTCGGCACGGCCACAGGCGCCAGGAAAAAGGGCCCCACAGGTTAGAGGGTCTGAGAGCCCCCACGACCAGCCTGAGTGCCCTATGACAGGGCTGACACGTCCCAGGGGTCTGGCGAGTCGCCAAGGCCCTCCCACGAATCAGACTCCACCTGCCCAGGAGTGCAGCAAGGACCCTGCAATCGGTCACATCTACTGCAGATTTGGGGAACGGGGTGGCTGAAGGGACCCCCTCCACCTCCGAATGAGTCTCATGTTCTTAACCGCGAAATGCTAGGCCCACACAAACCCAGACAGGGTGTCACATCCAAGGCCACAGGAGAGAGGTCAGATGGTCTGGGGCGTGGGGGCACAGGGGTCGGCCACATGCCACCGCAGAGGGGACGGCACCCCACCTGCCCCTTCGTCCAATGGTACTATGGCTGCGAGGCAGGACGAGCTTTCTGCAGAGGCCCTGGCTTTCCTCCTGGACGTGCAGGAGGACAACACAGGATAAAAACGGGGTCTCCCCACCAAACTCCGCAGCAGAAGTCTCGGGAATGTCGCCTCCGGGAGCAAAGACGAGCCTGGCCAGCCTTCCGCCCCGATGACTGGTTCTGCATCACGGTGGACCAGAATCAGCATGCGTCCTGCCTGGGATTTATTCATTCCTCCTTCCTTCCTTTTCCCTTTTCAAGGAAATGTTGTGTTGAGTGGGCCTCCTGCCCTAAGGACCTCGAGCCACACCGCCGCGAGCGCTTCCCCGTGCTGGGGACGCCTTCAGAAATATCTATGCGGCTTTCAAGGAGCTCAGGCTGGAGGCAGCCTCCTTTGCTCATACACGTGCATGGGCTGCCTGCCTGCCACCTGCAAGCAGGGTTTGTCCCAGGCACGGTGCTAGGACGGGGCGGGGAAGTGACCAGGTCCCCACGAGCATGCTCGCGGTATGACCCGGAACCTCCCGGTGCCTCAGATGCCCCCGCAGACCCGCCTCTCCCCTCCTGCTGTTCTCCAGCTGGACTCCACGGCCTTCTGAAAATTTCCTGCTGGAAGGGGCAGGCAGGCAGGCTGGCGGCAGAGAGGAGGGACTCCGACACGCCCTCTCGGGAAGGGCTTTGCACGAGCCCAGACTAAAGTTGCAAACCAAATTTGTGTTTCTGTCCGCAGGGTCTTATCTGTGTCGCTCATGCTTTATGGGCTGCATGTCACTGAGGTGGGTGAGCGCTGGCAGAGCGGGGCCCAGACCTCACCACCCGCATCGACAACCTGGCAAGTTCTCCTTCTCTTAATCTAAGCCAAGAAAGTGGCTCACAAGTGCTGACCTCTGTGTCTGAGACCCAGCAGTGACTGCCCGCCGCCACGCCAGGCCACCACGCCAGGCCACCACGCTGCCACGCCGAGGGCTCCCTTTGTCCGGTGGCAAAATGCACAGCTGAAGAATGTGCTCTAATGAGCATGAACGTGAAATCCTTCCGCCCCTGAGCGCCAGAGGAGGAGGATGCGAGCCCAACAGACGGCAGCATACCTCTGGCCCTGCGTCATCAGGGCTGCCCCCACCACGAGGCGGGCCCCCCATTCATTCCGGGCAGCGCCTGGGCGGGGGCTCGCTCTGGGGGTCTCAGCGAGCCCAGCCCCGGGACAGGCGGCCACAGCAGCTGCTCGCCCCTGTCAGTGACAGGCTTGAGCGTGGCCGCCACGGATTACAGCCCCAGAGCCAGCTGTCGCGGGGCCTCGTCAAAGGGACTCGTGCGTGTCCAGGCTGAGGACCTGGAACCATTTTTAAAAAACTAAACTTTTAGTTTGAGATCATTGTGGGTTTGCACGTAGTTCTAAGAAACAGTGTGGAAAGATCCCTACATTTACGCCTTTCCCCCAACGATAACACACAAAACTATAGGTTCTGGCGTGGATTCATGCTCCCCACCTTCACTGAGCCCACACGTGTTCAGTCCTGTGTAGCCACCACACGTGTGGGCCTAGGCACACGGCGCCATTTTCTAAGAGGAGACCCTTCTGATTCTCAAGGCAAGAAGACGGGTCAGTGCGGGCCGGAGGCTGTTATCGGGACAGAAGACAGGAGGGTGGAGGGCTGGGGTGGCGCATGCAGGAGCAGCAAGGGCGGGACGCCCTGCCCCCTGCACCCCAACCGGGCAGCACTCACCTCCGTGATGATGAAGAAGTCATCCCCAGGCTCCCCCTGGACCACGATCTTCTCTCCGTCCTCAAACTGCGCGGGCTCCAGGGCGTCTGCCACGGTCAGGCGCTCCCATTTCTCCAGGGACTCTAGAGCGGGCGACAAGGAGACCCTCACCACGGCGTGCACCCCCGCTCTGCACCCCAGTGCTCTCTCAGGAAGCACCGCAGGTCAGCCTTTGCTAAGACAGCAGTGAGTGAGACGGGGAGCGCGCTTCCGTGCTGGGAAGACCTGGGCGTTCCACCAGTGAGTTGGGCGGGATGTACTGGGCTAGCGCTCCATCCCCGGCAGGGAGACAGGGTCTCGGATAGGGCGCTGTGCTCACACGCATCACGGTTTAGCTTAGGCGATGGGTGCTGGAACTGGGGCCTGTGAACCCAGCGTGAAAATAGACATCTTCAGACGTAAGCTGCCTGTGTTCCTGCAAAAACACAATCACGGCTAAGCACTGGGGCTACTACGCGGTTTAAAATATTTCAGAGCAGTTGGAGCGATTACCCGTCCAGAAAAAACACCATTCATCACGGTTCAACTGCAAATGCACTTATGTTGCAGGGCTGGGCAGAGCGCACCTTCCATTATTTTAGGTCAAATCACTGAATTCCAATGCCACGCTCTCAATCTTCACAGCTCGCGAATCCTAGATACCTTTCCGCCTCTCCCTGCACCTTCCCTTCCCCGTCATTGTCCATCCCTAGCTCTCAGGAAGGAAAAGGAAAAAAACGCAATACGCTCCTTTGGAAGAAAATAACGATTGTCTGATTAACTATTTCTTTTTTGGCAGAAAAACCTTCCCTGGCCTATACTTATCAGATGCTACTTAAGTAGGTCAGCGGCTAAAAATACAAAGCAAAGCATTTATTTTAGAACTGGGTTAGGAGCGGGATTTCTCTGCTTTAAGATGCCTGCCAATGCTGCGCATTGCAAAGGACGAGCTTCTGCAGAGCCGCCAGCACATGCACCCCGCCAGCCCATCCGGAAAGGTCTGCACAGCCGGGGCTGCTCGGACACCCGAGGCCGGTGGCGTTCCCACACGGAATGAGTCTGTGCTCGGGGGAAGTCGGCATGCAGGCCGGCCTGAGGGCCACGCGGCATGGAACTCTGCGAGTCACACAACCAGGGGGAAGCCGTTCCCACTGTCCCATCAGCAGGTTTCTCCGTTCCATCTGAAACGTGCCACACTCTGGGGTCCGAAAGTCGAGACATGCAAAGCTGTGTCCCCCAGCATCAGGAATCTCAGGAGACACTGGGGGGATGGCAGTTTGTTGCCCCGGGTTTTGAACTGTACCCAGTCTCTGAGGCGACGCAGGACACACAAGCCCTGGGGGCATTTTCATGGCATTCAGGGTCCTGAGTCTCAGGGTTCCGGGGGCTGACCGTCCCCCCTACAGATGGGCCCTTTTCCTGAGCGGGATTTCAACTCTGCACCTGGACTGTATGTGAACACAGGCAGGCAGGCGTCCCGCCAGCAGCCACAGCCCAAGACCACACAAGGCGCCAGACGTGGAGCCCCAGGGTGGCTTCCCCCAAGCCTGCCAGGTTCCGTGCCCATCACGGGCCGACCCCGGTGTCCATGCGCAGGACCCTCCAGGCCCTGAGTGCACACTGCCACCTCCACGCTCCTTCCGGCCGACAGAGGGATGGAGCTGAGGGCAGGCCGGTGGAGAGCAAGGCCTCCCAACGCCGGCCGCAGGCATCTCTCCAGAGGATTCTCTGCAGCCGGGGTGACTGAGGGCGAAGATTAGTCTCGTGGTTGCTCCGCCCGACGGCCACGGAGAAACACTGGCTGGTACCAAGCTTGTGGACGGGGACTGACCGGAGAGTGTAAGAGCGCCTGGCGCCAGTAAAGGGAGGTGGAAGGTGACCGTGGGCCCCAGGGTCCTGGGTTCGGGGATTTCTCATGGGGCTAAAATACCCTTCACGCAGCCCCTATGAAACCGTGGGGACCAGCTCATGAGGCGGCCAATTTTCGCTTCTCTGAGTACGGCACTGGCCACACAGCCCAGCGTCCCCTCCTAGGACACGTCCAGACCAGACGTACCTGCAGAGGCACGGGGGTGCCTCCCATCACCTCCACTGGGGGTGACCAGAAGGTTCTGGAACCAAGGAGTGGTGACAGGGGCAGACGCCCTCAAGAAATGGCTGACACGGTGCGTGCTGTGTGATGAGCTTCCACCACCAGAGGAGGAGAGGAACCGGAACCTTCCCTCACCATCTCACAGGGTCTCCGCGAGGACGTGGGGTCAGAGGCCCCGCGGCGCCCTCCCTGCCGGACCTACTTTACTGTTCTGTGTTAAATTACTCACATTCACTACAAAGAACTCAAGAAATACAGCAAATCGTAAAAAATGTGAAAAACTGCCAAGTGCCACCCAGAAATAGCCGCGGCGACGTCACAACCTCGCTGTGTCTCCAGTCACAGACCCAGACAGAAGGACAGACAGAAAGACAAGCAGAAATACTCTTATAAACGTGACCCACCAGCTGTGTCGCTTTTTCAACGTAAACTCTTAACTCTACTTTGCTTAAATTTAACACAAGAAAAAGAAGCCAAAAGTAACCAGGTATTTTTTTCAATGTAAGATACATTCTTTTCTAAAAGATTTCCCTAAGAAAGATCATAAAAAAAACCAGTCCTCAGATTGAACCATATGGAATGCCCACCTTTTAGGTCAAAAGGGGTAGAAAACGGGCCATTTCAGGTGGCTCGACTCGGCAGCGGCGCTGGCTCCGTGTTAGGACGAGCTGGCCCCACCTGGCCTCCCCACGGGTTTTGGGTTCTGCTCCCTGGTGTGGCCTGTGAAGACGCGAACGCACTGCAGGCCACCCACCCTGACCGGGGTCTTCTGAAACCCGCCTCGGGGGCGCTGGCCCTCCGCGGGCACCGCGGCACCTCGGGCCTGGCCGGGGGCGCCCTGTGCACCGTCTCCGGGTGGCTCGTCCTTCCACATCCCCCGGCGCCCTCCCCAGGGGTCCTGCCCACCACTGCGCCACAGCTACCTATGCCGTTCCAGCGCGTCACTGACTGACCCCGTGCTCAACCTCGTCCACTTTTCTTCATTTGGAGAAAAGGATCAACCAAAAAAGTAGCGTGAACAACGTAACCAACCTCTGTCCTGAATAAAATCGTATGAATATTTTGTCACAATAGCTTCAGATCTATTTGTTCAGGTTTTTAAAATTTTTTAATCTTTTATTAGCGAAGCACAGTTGACCTTCAGGTCTGTTTTCTAGAGACCCCCTGACATCACGCTCGAGCTGACTTCTCTCCCTCCCCTGAGGCCATGGCCTTGGGCTTTCCCGTAAGACAGCCTCACAGACGCTACGGAGGGCTGCCCGCACCACCCACGCGTGCGGCTTTCTGCACGAGATCTGCGTTGACCCCGGAGCTCTGGCGCATTCGCGTGACCGCGGTCCATCCGCACGATGCGGCTGACTTCACCTTGTTTCCCTCCCAGTCCTCGTGGAAGCTGCTGCAACGAATGTCCATGGCCGTGTCTCTGTGCCCTTGCGGGAAATGCCCAACGGCGAAGCTGTAGGGCGGGGGGCACGCAGCACCGGCTCCGCTCCCAGGACCCCAGCCGACCTCCGAGGCTCTGGCCAGGATGCTCTCCCACCTCTTCCCTCCGCTGCTTGCTCACTGGATTTGTGTTCTTGAGAAAGGCTACTGCCCTGGATCTGTCTGCTGTTTCTGTGGAATGCCTTCTTCCTGAGTTCTGGTCTGTGTGTCTGTGAGCTTTTCTCTGTAGTTCTGGCTCCTGCGGCTGGTCTGTGCGGCCGCTGTAGCGCTTCCCTCCACTTGCCCAAGCTTGCTACGAGCTGGTGTGGGGGTGTCCTCCTGCCCTCCCCTCCAACCCTCCACTAGAAGGGCAGGCAGCGAGCCCTCTCCTCGTCCCTCTGGTCTGGACAGCAGGGACCGGGCAGAGGAGAGCCCAGCTGGGAGCCAGGGCTGCTCCAGGGCTGAGGGCAAGCCCAGTGTCCCCCCCAGCTCACACCATGCAGGCAGGGGAGCAGCCGTGGGACTGGGATTGCTGCCCCAATCCTACGCCCTCATCCATGAGCGTCAGCCCTTTGCTTCTCTCCCTTCCTCACTCCATTACGTTCTTGGAAAAGGAGGATACCTTTCATTCAGCATCTTTACCCAGCAGCCTGGCCTGGGCTTGCTGCTGGGCGGTGGTTTCCAGCGGTTCCTGGAGGCTCAGCACTCAGCTGTCCCTCACCTTCCCAAGCACAGCCCCTCCCATGGGCTAGAGCCTCCTTGTCCAAAGTGCAAGTCGCCAGCCACATGTCAGAGGCTGGACACAGATAAGGAACATCAGCTTCATTGCTGAAAGTTCTGCCAGAAAGGGCTGGTCTGCATCAGCACGTGATCATCACTCACGGTACAGAAACTTCAAAACACTTAAAAACCCTTGCTGGTGAAAATTTTGTTGACACTTCTGAAAATCAACAGAAATGGGGCCATTGTGTTTATCACACCCCAGAAGAAGGAAGGGCAGAAATGCAGCAGGAGAAACCACACTTAGGAAAACACCAAAACAGGTCGTGGGAAGAAGCTCAGCACAGTGGGCCGCCTTTACTAGAACACGAATTGGGCTTGCAGCTCAGAACTGATGGACATGGAGGAAGGGCTGGAGGTGACACTGGTGGTGGAGGGACAGACAAGAGGAGCTCACAGGATGAGGGCACAGACACTTGAGGAAAGGATAATGGTGCCCTAGGGGACTAGACACAGAGCTCTTGGTGTGTGTATGCACATACACGTGTGATCGTGACTGTGTGTGCACGCATGTGAGCGGGCATGCGTGTGCATGCATGTGGGTGATCGTGCATGTGTGTGCACACATGTGAGCATGCCCGTGTGGGGGGCATGCGTGTGCATGCATGTGGGTGATTGTGCATGTGTGTGCACGCATGTGAGCATGCCTGTGTGGGTGCATATCTGTGCATGCATGTGGGTGAGTGTGCCTGTGCATACATGTATATGCCTGTGTGCACACATGCATGTTTGCATACGTGTGATCATGCTTGTGTGGGGGCATACATGTGCATGCATGTGGGTGAGTGTGCCTGTGCATACATGTATGTGTGTGAGCATGCCTGTGTGGGTGCATGTGTGTGCATGCATGCATGTAAGCACGCCTGTGTGGGTGCGTATATGTGTGTGTTCCAAGCTTGCACATCACCAAGGGCGCTGAACCTGCCAGGCATGCAGGGAACGTGGAAATGGGTGGGGCCAGCAGGCAGGACTCAGACGAGACTGGAGGAGGCCACGCGGCACAGAGCGTTGTACACGGGGCCAAGGCCACTGACCCAGGATGGAGACCTTGCTGAGAAACTCCTCATACATCTTGCGCTTTCTCAGTGTGCTGCCCTGTTTAGGAGAAAGAAGACAGAGAAGGTAGGTCTTCATGCCTGAATCGTTTCAACATCTCCAAATTTCCCCAAATGACTCTGAATCCTTTGAGGATTCCATGTCTTGGAAGCCCCTCAGAGACCCACCCCGCACCTCCAGGCAGCTGCCCCTCCCCTGGCTAGCCTCAGCAACCTCATCAACCTCATCCAGCCTGGGCTGGTGACAGGTCCACACAGTGAGCACTCAACCAACCAGAGTCCTGCGCTTGGCCTTCCATGGGCTGAGGGCAGGTGTCCCCAAGGTAGGATGGTGAGGGGCGCTGTCTGGGCAGCCTCACCGCACCCCCACACCTCCCCCGGACACACACATCTGGAGAGATGCTGGGGCCAGCGACAGAACCACATGGGCGATGCGTTAGAGAGGGGCAGCCAGCGTTGGTGAAGTCTCTGGACCAGACATGCCTGAAACTGGTACTTGGGGAAAAAAGCGAATGAGTTGCTTCTTTCCCATCCAAAAGCTGACTGAATAAGACAAAACCAGCAAACAGGATCCCGTCAGTCTTTATGTGAATTAGAAATGAGAATCCACTCCAAAAATTAGAATCTGAATGTGAATTAGACAAAGGCACCCCCTTCTTCAAGTGTGCATCCCAGTGAGCTGGTGGCCCAAGCAAATAAGGAAGCCCAGCCTCCCAGTGGCCAGCACCAGCTTGGCAGGTAGAGAGCAGCCTGGACTTCAGCCCCTCACCCTGCCTCCCGGGGCCTTTGGACAGTGTACACATTCCACAACTATACATGGTAGCCCTGCCAATGAGTACTGGTAAGTATGGCACATTCAGAAAACAGGGACGTGTGGTCCACCAGCAGCCTTATCCATCAATGGGAGCTGGAAGTTAACCTGTGAAGTGAAAAGGATGGAGAGTCCAGTGACCACAGACTAGACACCTGACATGGGAAGGGGTGTGAGGAAAGATGGTAACAATGAAAAAGTGCTTAGGCCAGGGCAATGGTGGGTCCTCCAGACACTTGGGATGATTACCCTCATCCCCAGAGGAAGAGGCAGGCTCAGAGGGGCAAGTGACCACCTAGACTGTGATCACAGGAGCAAGAACGAACCCAGACCGGGCTCTACAAGTCCCAAAGCTTGGTGATGATGATGATGGTGATGGTGGTGATGAAGATGATGGTGGTGATGGTGAGGATGGTGATGATGGTGGTGATGGTGATGGTGGTGATGGTGATGGTGGTGGTGATGGTGAGGATGGTGATGATGGTGGTGATGTTGGTGATGATGGTGGTGGTGATGGTGGTGATAAAGATGATGGTGGTGATGTTGGTGATGATGGTGGTGATGATGGTGATGATGATGGTGGTGGTGATGGTGGTGATGATGATGATGGTGGTGATGTTGGTGAGGATGGTGGTGGTGATGGTGGTGATAAAGATGATGGTGGTGGTGATGATGATGATGGTGGTGGTGATGAAGATGATGGTGGTGAGGGTGGTGACGGTGAGGATGGTGATGATGGTGGTGATGTTGGTGATGATGGTGGTGATGGTGATGAAGATGATGGTGGTGGTGATGATGATGATGGTGGTGATGATGGTGATGATGATGGTGGTGGTGATGAAGGTGATGGTGGTGGTGATGATGGTGATGATGATAATGGTGGTGGTGACGGTGAGGATGGTGAGGATGGTGATGATGGTGATGGTGGTGATGTTGAGGATGGTGAGGATGGTGATGGTGGTGATGGTGATGGTGATGAAGGTGATGGTGGTGGTGATGATGGTGATGATGATAATGGTGGTGGTGACGGTGAGGATGGTGAGGATGGTGATGATAGTGATGGTGGTGATGGTGATAAAGGTGATGATGGTGATGATGGCGATGAAGGTGATGATGGTGATGGTGATGATGGTGGTGACGGTGGTTATGGTGGCAATGGTGAGGATGGTGAGGATGGTGGTGATGGTGATGATGATGATGGTGGTGATGTTGGTGATGATGGTGGTGGTGATGGTGGTGATGAAGATGATGGTGGTGATGGAGGATGGTGAGGATGGTGATGGTGGTGATGGTGATGGTGATGAAGGTGATGGTGGTGGTGATGAAGGTGATGATGATAATGGTGGTGGTGACGGTGAGGATGGTAAGGATGGTGATGATGGTGATGGTGGTGATGGTGATGGTGGTGATGGTGAGGATGGTGAGGATGGTGATGGTGGTGATGGTGAGGATGGTGATGGTGGTGATGGTGAGGATGGTGAGGATGGTGATGGTGATGGTGATGAAGATGATGGTGGTGGTGATGATGGTGATAATGATAATGGTGGTGGTGACGGTGAGGATGGTGAGGATGGTGATGATGGTGATGGTGATGGTGGTGATGGTGAGGATGGTGAGGATGGTGATGGTGATGATGGTGGTGGTGATGGTGGTGATGAAGATGATGGTGGTGATGGTGAGGATGGTGATGATGGTGGTGATGGCATTGATGGTGAGGCTGATGGTGATAGCAGTGGTGAGCCATCCTGAGCACAGTGGAGGAGGGCTGACAGGGAAGATCAGCACACTCCCATTCCAACTCCAGATCACCCATACGCCCCCTACTCTTAGCCCAGTCTCACCCCCTCTGGGCCTCAGTTTCCCCATCAGGAGAAGGGACAGACAGCACCATGTTCTCTGTGTCTTTGACCTGGGCTCCTCCCCACCTTCCTCCAGATTTCCCACGTCAGCCCAGCAGGCTCCTTGTCTGCTTCCCACTGAGACACAGAGGGAAGGCTACCAGCCTCTGGATGGCGCATGAACGTTGGGAGTCCGTTCATGCGCCAAGTGGGAGGCACCCCACTCTGTCCCAGAAAGGCTGGCACTTGACTCCTGCTTCACGGGTATGGGGCGGCCTGAGGAGCTTTCCCATTCTTCACGCAGGGAGTGGGCACCCCACACCTGACCCAGGAGGGACGGGCAGGGCAGGCACAGGCAGTGCTTCCTGACCCCCCTTACTGCAGATGGGGACATGGAGTGTGGCCCTGCTCAGTGGGGCTCCTATGCCACACGGAGCAGCAGGGGCAAGAGAGGGAAGTTCGAGGGAAGCTTCTGGATCAGATGTCCTGGGATCCCTATCGCCTGAACGCATAGGGAGGGGCCTCCTCCCTGGAGACCCCCCTGGCAGTTCCCCACCCCCCCATCTCCCCCTTGGCAAGTCCCAGTTTAGTGCCAAGTGAATGCATGGTGGGTCCACTATGTATGACGGATACATCCAAATCCGCCCAAACCCAGGACTGATGCAAACACGGGGACTGTCCTGCGGGACACTCCCTTCCGGGTCAGCCAGCACTGTCATTTTCTTTCCCGAGACACAGAAGCTATGCAACTCCCAGCACAGCCACGGCTATTCTTAGTGCACAGGGATCCAGAATTAAGACAGAGGAAGTGCCAGCAGCCTCGCTGGTTTGGGAACTTCCCTGAATACGAGGTTCCAGCCACAAAAATCCCACAGCCAAGATGGACTCAGCACTGGGGATGGTGAGAAACAATAGCTTATGCAACATGGGACCAGGTGCACGCGGAGGGGACTGCGGGCGGACAGAGGCTGCTGGGCCCTCGCCCAAACCTGCCCCTGCCTGTGGGAAGGAGGGGGTAAGGTGCCTCAGGGCACCCCACCCACGAGGCACACAGCCTCTCCTGGAGAAAACAGGAGCTAGCAAGTTGGAGATGAAGAGGAGAGAAAGCTTGGCTCCGGAGGCAGGGACATTCAGCTGCTCTCTCCCGATGTATCCACGGCTCTAGAAGAGCCCCTGGCCCACAGTAGGTGCTCAGTCAATCCTTACTGAGTGCATGGATGACGGGTGCCTCACGCACATGGAGCTGATCAAACAGTCGCCCCCAGGACTGCACGGAATTCTCCCTGTGTCGTGAAAACTGGGGTGTTGTGGTGGGACCAGGATAGGCAGGGAACGCTGATGTTCCCGAGAGGAGGGGCAGCCTGAGCAGGACTCCATCTCCAGGCTCCCGCCTGACTGAGCCCTGGGACTATTTTAAACTACTCACGGACTGTCCCAGGCCTCCCCCAAAGCACCCCCGCATCACAGCCCCTCCCGGTAAGCTGCACCGTCCAGACCAATCTCGGGGAGACAGTCAAGTCCCAGAGAGCATGTGGTGGAATCCAAAGGTCTCCCAGCAAGGAGCTCACCCCGGTCACCTCCCTCTGGACCTGTCGGGACCCCTCCTGGGGTCCAGGCCCTGTGGGATGCTGGATCTGAGCACATACCATCCCTGACCCACCCGGAAAAGCACCTGTCCCAGCCGTCACCACCAGGCGAGCCTAGGTGGCTGAGGAGTGAGACTTCCAGAGGCCAGGCGCTCAGCTCCGGTGGCCTCTGCCCAGGGATAGGGAAGGACGGAGACCCTCAAACGCGCTGGGATGTCTTCGGACCAGTGTGGCCGGCCCAGAGCCTTCTGGCTTCCTTGCTGCTCCCGGAGTAGGATGGTTTCCACCCTCCCCGGGACAGCCCCCAGTCGGCTGCGGAAGCTCCTCTGTTCAAACCCCTGCAGGGCTCCTCCCACACACTCAGGTGGGAGTTGAGGGCTCTGTGTGAGCCATACCCCCCACGGGACCCCTGTATCCCCATCCACGGTGGTCTGCCCACTGCTCCACGAGCATCCAAGCTCATGCCGCAGGGTCTTTGCCCAGACACTCTTCTCCTGGATATGCTAATTCCTTGCTCAGAGGCCTTGGCTCCAAAGCCGCCTTATCCCAGAAGTTCTTCTGGGCCTTTCTATAACACAGCAGCCCCCTCTTCCCCTTCTCTGCTGTAGTTTTCTCCATGGAATTGTCGCTACCTGAGGTATGTGTTTGTTCTCTGACTCCTACACTAACATGCTGGCTTCCCAAGGGCAGGCTCTGCCCCTGTGATGATGCTCCCTGATCTCAGCACCGAGAACGGTGCCTGGCGGGTGGTGTGTGTGGGACGAGCACTGAGTGGACACACGAAGAGCCTGCCTCCTCTCCCCAGGGAGGGCCTCTCTGTCACAGCTCACCATGCCCCCGGCCGCCACATAGGGGACTGCGCCCACCCTGCACCAGCGAAGAGTGGATGTGGCTGCACAGGAGAGAAAACCTAAAATGACAGGGGCAAAAACATCTGGGGGCTGACCCCCGCATGAGGATGTCTGGGGCCAAGCAGTCCGGCCCCGTTGTGCTGGGGCTACCAGAGAGCCAGGCTCCTGGCATCTCTTTGCTCCACCACCTTGATGAACGGTTTCCATCCTCAGAGTCACCTCATGGTCCAGAATGCCAGCTGGAGCTCCAGCCATCACAACCCCATTCCAGACAGCTGAAAGGAGATAGGAAGGGCAAAGGGGCCTTCCTAGCTGCCTGCATACCTTTTAAGAAGTTTCCAGAATCCCTCCCACACTTTTCACCGATCCCATCAGCCCTTTTCTATCACCCCCACTTGGACAAAGCCAGGGTTCCCGTGAGATGATTGGCTGTGTGCCAGACCCCCCCAGCCCTGCTGAAGCTCCTGTGCCAGGGAGCCACTCACCATGAGGATGCGCCGATAGCTGTCCCGGTCGATGCCCCAGAGCTTGAGGTCTGTCTTGGCTTTCACGGTCGCCGCCCTGGGGGTGCCATAGATGAGTGCCAGCTCCCCAAAGCTGCCCCCTTCGCTGATGCTGGTCACCCACTCTCCATTCACATACACCTTCAGGGGACAGAGTGAAAAATGTCAGAAAAGTCACGGGGGATGTGTGGGGTCACAGTGGCCCGTCCTGCACCGGGAGCCCTCCTCCATGCCCACCAGAGGGGGCTCGGCAAGAAGGGGACATATGGCCACAGCCCCCAGGCCCCCTCGCCCACAGGCACAACTTCCCACCGCCCTGCCCAGGCCTGTCCTGGATCTCTGCCAGCCATGCTGCCTGCCTCACCCCCAACCCTGTGCAGAGCCACACGCAGCTGGACCAGCACGATGGCGCCCTCTGAGTCTCCACCCTCCACAGGCAGTGAGACGGGCCTGCGTGGGAAGCGGATGCACCGTCCAGGGCTCCTGGTCTGTGCAGAAGGCCTGCCTGCCTCCCTGGCTGGCCTTCGATTCAAGTCCTCATCAGCCTTGGATGGGTCTCAGGGCCAGTCTCCCCAGCTGCACACAGTGGGTCAGACTCGGTGCTTCCTCAGGCACCCCTGCTGACACCCTCCGGGGCTCTGCCCCCGGCCCACCCTCACGGAGCCATGCTGACGGGGCCTCCCTGCCTGGGGCCGCAGCACCCAGCTCCCGGGGTCGGTGGAGTCGCTGCCGGGGCGCCGATGAGGCCCAGCTGAGAGGGGCCCTTTCAGCGTGCGTGGGCGGCCCAGCACAGCGCTGCCACTATGCATTGACCCTGCACGTTCCGTATCGCGCAAGAATAGTACAGATTGTTTATTATGCGGTGCCCATGCAGATTCCGTTACTATAAATTGACACAATGCAGCTTTATTCCCCCGGCGTGTCAATGAGCTTGAAGAATAGTGCCCATTGCCAAAACGGGTATGCGTCGGGAAAGAACGGACTGCGGTGAGTCAGGGACGCCATTCTTACTGAAATCAATGACTCATTATCTGGGCAATAACTGAGGCACAGAATCGCGTATCCGCAAGAAAACACCACGCAGGTGATAACTCCGTAACGCGAGCGAGCGAGGGTCCCGGGGACCCGGCCGACCACGAAGCTGCGTGGGAAGGAGACCACAGCTGCAGAGAAGTAGCCGCCCGCAGGGGCCTGCGCGCGTGTCCCTGACAGCCTCCGCCAGCCTGGCTGAGCACAGAGCGCCTGCTCCTGGGCCTGTGTTCTCGTGCTCCCCCAGGGAGGTCAGGCCACTAGGTCCCCAGCTTCCACGCGACGAGGCTCTCCAGGAACAGGAGGACAATGTCCAGTCCTTCCCACGAGGCAGGGATGCATGATCCAGGAGTTTTAGGGACCACAGACCACATCCTCCAGAAGCTGCGCTCCTGGTCTTCTCAAAGGGGACCGAGAGACTGTGGGGAGGGGGGCGGTGACAACTTCTCAAGGGTCCTGGCAACCCAGCCCCCGGCCAGCCCTCCCCGCACTCTGCTTCGCTGTGAAATCCTGCCCACGGAGGTCTGACTCACAAACACCCATGTGCCTGGATCCCAGCTCAACAGCTCAGTGACGTCGGCACTGCCCCCGGGACCCCTCAGGTGACAGGTCCCCTCCAGTGACCATGGCTCCACGAAAAAGAATCACAGGGTGCGTCCTTCTGTCACTCCGGGGGTGAGCTGTTGGGTTTAGTGGGTGCCCGTCCAGTGCGGGGGCCGCACGTTTCCTGCGACTTCTCCAGGGTGAGTGCCGGGCACTCCTGTGTGTGCAGGTGTTGCTAAACACTGTTCCCCAAGAGTTGAACCAAATGGCCCCCCGACCAGCGCACACTGCACGTCTTCCTGGGGGCCTCTTCAAGTCGGGGCAGTGACGGGAGCTTGGGAACGTGGGTCAGTGGTTGGGAGACTCTGCCTGACACGGTAGTCTGGGGGGGGCGGGGGGCCTCCCCCTCACACCTGAGGGTCACAGAAGCCACCCACCTCGAATGGCTGCTGACAGGGGCAGGACGCCCAAGAGCAAATGAGCACAGGCACCCAGGGGATAGAGAAAGGGCTCAGCAGAGCAAGCAGGGCAGGACCCAGGGGACCTGGGGGACCTGGGGCCCGGACTGCATCATCACCAGGGGCCGCCAGGGACCCCCTTCCTGCCCAGAAGCCCAGGCCTCGGAGAACTCCCTGCGACGCATCAGAGAAAACCATTGTGCGGAGCCCCAGACAGGCCCAGGAACACACTGCAGGCCGCCCCACGGAGCACAAAGGGGCCATCCTTCTCAGGACACTGGCCTCTGTCACCGCGGCCAGTGCAGCCCTGGGCCCCACCCCAGCTGGCACGCAAAGGGGTTACTTCTTGCTTTGTTTCATTTTTTGTTTCTTCTTCTTTTAGAGGAAAAATGGTGGGAGGCCCCACTGGGCTACACTTATGGTCCCACCATTGACAGTGACTTCTCTGGCTGAACCCAGAGCTCCCACCCGGCTGTTCTGCATTCGTGCATTCATCCATCCATCTGTCCGTCACCCCCAGTGTGAACTGAGCGCCCCTCTGTGCCCTGCACGTTCTAACTGCTGGCAGTCACCAGGGGAAGGCAGGCGGGTTCCTGTCCACGGGGACTCCAGCCGGGAGAAAGACGGCAGGCACAAAATCATACAAACACACATTCATCATGAAGTGCACTCTAGGCATGAAGAGAACAGGAGGCACAGCGTTCAGAAAGACCACAGCAGAGACTGTGCGTGGAGGGCTCTCCGTGAAGGAGAACTTGAGCCAGGCCCCATGCGTCCAGGGCCAGCGTGCAAAGATGTGGAAGAAGGGTGACTGAGGCAGAGGACAGGGTGTGCAAAGGCCCTGGGGCCACAGTGAAATGGAGGGCACTGGATGCCACATGACCCAGCAGGGAGAGAAGCCCAGGGGGCAGGAGCTGGGGTGGGGGAGGGCAGGGCTGGGATGTTATTCTAGAAGCCAAAGGAAGCCACAGAAGGTTCTGGCACTTCATCGGGTTTGCGCTGTGACACTCCCTCTGGTGGGGCCACCGGAGTGGCGAAGGAGGGAGAAGTCACTCAACAGGCAGCTGTGGGCAGCGGGCTCAGCGATCCCACTGGCTGGGTCAGAGCCCAGGGGCCGAGGCCCAGGGACCGGCGTGGCAGCAGGTGGCTATGACGTGGCCCACACTGGACAGGCTGCTTCCGCTCCACGCAGAAGGAGGTAGAGACGGTGATTGGACCAAAGGCACAGGATCCTGCTCAATCAGATCCCGAGCTGGGGCCCCAGCGTCTGGAGCCTCAGACGCAGACCAGGGCTGAGAGAGCATCGTCCACATGGCGTGCTCGCCGCCCTGCTCCGCCACCTGCCCTCCCTGACCTGGGCATCTCAGGGCAGCGCTCTGCTCCACAGGAAACAAAGACCGGCCGGCAGAAGCCGTCTGGGCAGCGGAGACAGAACAGCAGGGCCCAGAGTTATCTGTGTAATCTCAGCAGGTGGGGGCGGGGCAAGTGGCCAGGTTTCTCACACCGCCCAGAGCTGACCTGGCACTCCAGCGTGCTCCTGGCTGTTCCGCCTTCACAAATGGTGAGGAAAAGCTAATGGCCCGTCTCCTGCCGCCTCCCCAGGCTCCCACCGCAAGCAGCAGGCGCGGCCCTACGGCGAGCGGGCACCCACATCCCAGGCCCACGGCGGGCTGCCCACAGGCACCCTGAAGGGAGCAGAAACCCCGCCTGTGAGCGGCTCTTCCTGCCAGGCTCTAGCACCTCGAGCCCCAAATGCCAAACGCCCAGGGGGTATTTTGTTGGTTGTTGCTCACAAAGCAAGCCCCCCCGCACAGGCATCCCTCCTGAAGTTCCTGTCTGCAGAACCTGGGCCGCGCGGGCTCCGTTTCCATTCAGATCCCCTCCAGAGGATCCCCGAATCTGTCCTGGCGTGTGGCCCTCCCCCACGTCAACCACACTCAGGTGCTCACAGGGCAGGATTTCGCAGGGACCCTGAGCGCCCCTCCTGAAAATGGAGCAGGTGTGCGGTTTGTATGCAGGCCACCACCACATGGGGTGGCTCTGAGTTCCCCGTCCCCCAGGTCCCAAGGACAGTCCTTACCAGCTGAGCACACCCGGGCTGCCAGGGCCTCCGCCGAGAATGAAAAGGGCATGCTGGGGTCCCCAGATGTGCTCTGCAGTGAAACAGGGTCTGGAAGGCCCATGATACTGCAGGAAAGCCTCACAGCCGGCTCCGGCTGAGCCAGTCAGTGGTTAACAGAGACCTCCTGACAGCACGGGCAGGGGCAGATGCCTTTACTCATAGCCGCGAGATGCGTGATGGCCAAGGGGGGCAGCGACGCAGGTGTCCACTGCTGTGAGCATAGGAACACAGTGTGGCCCAGCCACACGACAGCCTTAGAGGGAACCTGCCCCCATGGGGACAAGCCCCAAGGACGGGAGGTGGAGGGACACCAACCAGAAAACAGAAGGGCACGCACGGGGACCCCACTCCCACGAGGTCCCGGAGTCGTCAGACTCACGGACACAGAGGGTAGACGGCAGGGGGAGCAGGTGGGGGTCCGTGCGTCATGGGGACAGGGTCTCCGTGTGTGGGATGGAACGTTCTGGAGCCAGATGGGGGGACGGTGCCCCTGAACCGGACGCTAAGAAATGGTTAAGATGGCAAATTTTATGCTACTTGTATTTTACCAATTTAAAAAAACAAACAACCAGAGCTCCAGGGAAATGCTGAATAACTGACCACGACCCATGGAGCCAGACGGCCATGCCCTGGGGTGCCCTGTCCCAGGGACGTAGCTCAGAGGCCTCATGCCCACCTCAGAGGCTAGAAACCGGAGGGAACCGGGTGGGGCCGGAGCCAGAGGGCGGGAGGGTCCCAGCACAAAGGAGGGTCCGAAAATAGTGAAGGCCTCGCAGGATTAGGGAGGAGCCAGGCCTCAGACAGAACTATGTTCCTGAGCCCTAAAATCGGCAGCCGAGTATCCTTTTAAGTAGAAATGCTATGTTCCATGAATAAAACAAATTGGAAGATATTTTTATACTTAGAAAAATGGATTATAGCTCTTGGCAACACACACACTGTGGTGTCTCTCTGGAAAACCATAATTTAAACTGAACCTGGTGCTTCTGGCATTGGTCACCTGCTGGTCAGAGGGCAGCGTCCACCCTGCAGAAGAGGAGGGGTGCACGGGATGCCCACCCCCGAGCCCAGCCAGGCAGAAGGCCAGGCTGGGGTCCCGGGGGAACCTGCCTCCTGCGGGGCTTCAGCACTTGGTGAGCCCCCCACCCCCATGAGACCAGCATTGCTGGAGCCTAAGAGCCAGGGTCAGCAGCCCCGACACTGTCCTAGGCGCAACCCTGGGCCAGGTCAGCCAGGTCGCTCCCCTGCACCCTGGAAGGCAGTTTACAGAAGCGAGCACACAAACGCAGCGTTCGGGCCTCAGAGCATCTGCGAGCAGTAATAACAGTAATTATTATAACACATACCCCATAACTCACCCCAGCTAGCCCACATGCCACTTTTTCAGCCCGGATTCCTGACTGAGCTCTTTTGATTCCCTTAAATGTGGCCTTCACCCACAGTGCTGCACTGCCCGGTGCGTCCCACATCACAGGAGGGCTCCCTGCCTGCCCTGCCCGCTGGGAACCCGAACAGGCTGGTGGGGGACCCCGACGGGCATTGTGGGGCGGCCCCACAAGTCACTGCCTGGCCCTTCAAGAGCTGGCTGGCCCAAATTTGAGACTACAGCTGGACTCAGACATCCACCCACGGGCCCGGACATCCTGGCTCAGGCGAGCCAGGGTCCAGTGAGCACCGTAAAGCCACCTTTGTACCTGAGCCTCTGAGGCCGGGGCTGGGGGGCTAGAAGGTGACCTCACTTTTCCCACTCCCCAAACTGCCTCCCTGGGTCCCCGGCCTCAAGAAAAGCCAGCTACAGGGCGCCTGGGTGGCTCAGTTGGTTGGGCGACTGCCTTCGGCTCAGGTCATGATCCTGGAGTCCCGGGATCGAGTCCCGCATCGGGCTCCCTGCTCAGCGGGGGGTCTGCTTCCCCTTCTGCCCTCTTCCCTCTTGTGCTCTCTGTCTCTCATTCTCTCTCTCTCTCTCAAATAAATAAATAAAATCTTTTAAAAAAAGAAAAGCCAGCTGTGGCCCTTGGCACGGCGTAAGGTAGCAAGCACAGGGAGCCTAGGGAGAGCCTGGCGACCCCTACCCCATCTCGAGGGGGCTCTGGGGCCAGGCTCTGGGACCTCCCTTGAGGGGGTGGGCAGGGGGTCCCGTCAGGATGAGCAGGCCAAACCAGCCACTTCCTCCCCGTCAGTCACGTCCCACCTCTGAAGGGTGCTGGGACAGGGGGGCAAGACAGCAGAACTTTACAGTTTGCAAAGAGACACCCTCCCGTTGGACCTGCGTGCACTTAGATGAATGTAGGGTGGGTGTGAGGAGGCGAACGGCCCACACTAAGCGGCTGAGTGGCAGGGGTCGGCCCAGAGCTGCACACCCTGGCACTGCTGTCCAGCACGGCAGGGCCCACAAGCTGCTTCCCTGACCTGCCGTGGACACAGGCGCCGCTTTCCGGAGCCGGTAAGAGGTACTCACATCTACTTCTCCTTGGTCGATCACATAGAAGTTATCTCCTTCGTCCCCTGGAACGAAAGAAAGCAGAGACCGTGGACCATGCGGAGGGCACCACGTGGGGCACCTCCGGCCTCCCTGTATGCAGTACCTGCAGCCTCGCTTCACCGAGGCCAAGCAACTCTGGGCTCCACACGTTTTTCCCTTAATTTTTTAAAAATAAAACATGTACAAACACCACGATGGCCCGACACACACGGACAGTGACGTGGCCGGCACGCGCTCCCGTGGCGCGGTCACCTGTGTCTCGCGGGGTGGGGCACCTGCGGTCCACGCCTGGCCCATCCCGGGGTTCGACTCCGTTAACGAGTGCAGAGCGACGTGCTCTGGTCTCATTAGTGACTTTCCTTGAGGGTGGACAACGGGTTTTGTGTTCACACCCTGGGCACACCCATGGCCCACGGGACCCGCACTCTAGCTCAGAGAAGCAGGGAACGCACCTTGCTGTATGACGGTCTCCCCGGCGATGTGCATGACAGGGAACATGGCGTCGAAGATGTCACTGGAAGAGAAAAACGTACCACGTGTCAGAGCTGAAGCGACGTGGGGCACGGGGACCCCACTGCAACACCTCACATGGAGCAACCAGCTCGGTTCCCCCGGGGAAAATGGAAAAAGGAAATCAGGGTCTTTCGTAACCCTGCTGTCCAGGCACCAGCTCACCACCTGGGGATGCTTCTGTGCCGGGACAGACGGGGGTCCACTGTCAAAAATGGAATCACACTGTACACATTGCCTTGGACACAAAAAGCAAAGTAAGAACATACCGCAAACAGAGTAACAACAACAAAGTAACAACATACCAGAAGAACGGTTCTCACATCTATAAATATAGTCCTACCAGAACACTGCTTTCTGCATGCTTCCGGAGGGGAGACGCTTCCCCTCGAGGGGCGTCCTGAGACCCCAGACGCAGAACAATGTGTTAGACATGCAGAAGCCTGAGAGCCTGACCCTGACTGTGCCAACAGGCAGTCTGGCCATTTAATTTCCTAAATGTGGCAGTGGAATAGACCAAACGGGCAGGACATGGACAGCGGGGAGGTGGAGTGTGCCCACTGGGGACCCCTCATCTCCGCTGACCGCAACCAGGACGCAGTGTCAGAGGTCAGCCTCATGCTCCCAGAATGCGATGGCCACCTTCAGGAGACAGCACCACCCACGGGTCCCCGACGGAGAAGTGGGCAGCCAGGGCCCCGCAGTGGGAAATGCCCACTGCAGAGCCCTGGGCAGCCGGCCTCCTCTCGCCTGGCTGCTGAAACGAAGAGTCTTGGAAACCTTCGCCCGACTGCTCAGGCTGAACCAACCTCAGAGGTACTCACAGGTGCTGGACGCAGGCTGAGTGCTGAGCCGCCAGGAGCAAACGCAGAATCAGAGACGCAAACCACCCTGCGCCCTGCTGTTCCCAGGCTCCAGAAAACATTAACTTAAAGTAGTAGCTGTTGGGACGCCTGGGTGGCTCAGTTGGTTAAGCGACTACCTTCGGCTCAGGTCATGATCCTGGAGTTTCGGGATCGAGTCCCGCACCGGGCTCCCTGCTCAGCAGGGAGTCTGCTTCTCCCTCTGACCCTCCCCTCTCTCATGTGCGCGCTCTCTCTCACTCATTCTCTCTCTCTCAAATAAGTAAAATCTTAAATAAATAAATAAATAAATAAAGTAGTAGCTGTTTTCACCTCGGGGGTGGGGGGACCAGTGGGTGGCAGGGGCCCCTCCCCACCTCCTCCTTCCCCCCGGCACGGACCTAGCATCTGTCCCCTGGCCTGGGCTGCACTTCTCAGCCACACCTTCCCTGGGGGAACATCTGCAGATGGGTCTGGTCTGTTTCCCAAACTGCATTTCTTCAAAACCACAGCATCAGGGGTCTCAAAATGAGCGGATCTTTAAGAAACGATTTTTCAATTCCTACCTCACTCTTTAAAAACTTTAAGTGGTAATGGTAAAATATTTCCACAAATGCCATTAGCAGTGAAGCTAACCCCAGGACCCACCACCATGCAGCCTGGGCAGGTGCCTCGGGCAGTGGTCAAGCCGCACAGTAGGGCCCCAGCCCACTGCCCTCCACACACACGGCCGGTATGTCTGGGGCACACGGACGAACCAGTGAAAAGGCCTATGGTTATCATTCGCACAAAGGTCCTGGTTGCAATTCTTACATTTTGTCCTGTGTTTCTTCTTTTTTTTAAAGATTTTATTTATTTATTTGAGAGAGAAAGAATGAGAGACAGCATGAGAGGGAGGAGGATCAGAGGGAGAAGCAGACTCCCCGCCGAGCAGGGAGCCCGATGCGGGACTCGATCCCGGGACTCCAGGATCATGACCTGAGCCGAAGGCAGTCGCTTAACCGACTGAGCCACCCAGGCGCCCTGTCCTGTGTTTCTTGATGCACGTGTACATGGAGACACGCAGACCTGGTAAATCCCCTAGGGGCTGCCCTGCCTGGGCCTGGCCCAGCACCCCACTGACCACACAGGCTTCCCCCCTGGGGTATAGAAGGAGCATCCCAATCTGTGAACAGCAAGGCCAGAGAGCCCAGCCCCACTTACCAAAAAGGCCTGCTGCCCCATTTCCTTTGGAAGAAGCTAACATCCCCAGTGCCCCCCAGCTCATCACCAAGGCTTGGACACAGGTGGTGTGGGGGACAGACACACGCGCTCCCGCCGGCTCAGCCCATCCCCCGCTAAGAGGCCCCCTCCTTCCCCATCTTCTGCGTCTTCTCAAACAAACCCAATCCTTCCTGCTTCTTAGCCCCTGACGGCATTAGAAGGCCCTGGCTGTGCCACAAAAAGAAAACTGGTTTTCTATTCTAATCTGGAAGTGGCCTCTGGAAGGCTTTACTGAAGCTGCTGCCCACATCTCAGAGAGTCTGACACATGGGTCCTGCCGCCCCCACCAGGATCACCAAGGACACTGGGCTTGGCACTCAGGCATCAGGGACTGTGCCAGGCCCGGGGACACAGTGCCCAGAGCTGCTGAGACACAGAAATGTGAAGACATTACTGTCCTCACTCCATGAGGCCCCAAGGACGGGACCAGAGCTGGCCAAGCACCCTTCATCTGTCCGCTTGCTCTGAGGTCAGACCTGCAGCTGTCTCGTCCAGACTAGGAAACCAGAGATGCTAAGTAACTTTGCCAAGGCCCGCAGCTGGGAAGAGGTGAGACCGGGCCGCACTCCTGCCTTCCCGTGCAGGGCTCTGTGGGGCGCAGGGGGCTAAGCAAGGCCTCCTAGCGTGGAAGGGGAGGCGTGTTGGGGGGCACAGGGCCTTCCAGTCTCAGAGAGCAGGTGATGGAGGGCCCTGATGCCAACCCTGAGGAAGCCACTGGCCAGGGAGGGGCGCTGGTCATTGCCAGGAGGCAGGGCCCTCCAATCCCAGAGGCAGCCCCGTCAGAGAGGCTCCACCCTGCCCTCTGCTCTCAGTCTGACATGGGGTCCTCGGGCTCCTGAGCGGCCCCCAGGCCAGAGCAGGTGCTGCTCCCTCGATTGCGGGGAGCAGCTGAAAAGGGGTGCCCGCTTGCCTTATCCCAGTGTCCCTGTGGCCCTGTGGGCGCTTTTCACCAGGACCCTCCCACACACATACCCGAGGCGGCCCAAGCACCAAAGGGACCCTCAGGGTTGGACCAGGAGTGATGGGGGCAGAGGCATCATCTGTTAATTTTGCTTTAATTGTAATTATTTATTGGTACTGTTGGTTTTTGTCACTCTAGGTCAGGGGCTGGGTCTCAGCCCTGCTGTCCCGTGGACATCTTTGGCTTCCAGTTCTGCCTAGGCACCCCTTCCAGAATAAGGTTTTACCTGCATAAAATGGAATAAATAGAAAAACCAACGAAATCAACAATATGGAAACACAGTGGTTAAAATGTTTAAAGAACCAGCCTGCAGCATCGTAGCCTGGGGTTTGTCCTCCTGCATCACATAGCCAGGTTGGGGCATGCCCAGCGACCACCCCAATGGTTAGGGAGCCACGAGCATAAGCCTTATTTTCAGACAATCTACAAGAGCCAGGATGGGATGCGGAAGTGCCCACACTGTCCTCAGGTGACAAGATCATAGGCACCGTTCAGGCCTCAGCAGCCTGCTCACGACAGAGGGAAATGCCATCCACGTTCACGGACTCCTTCACAGCCCTCCTCCCTCCCTCTGTGCCGGCAGGCCTGTGCTGGGGGCCAGGAGCAGAGCATCACCAGCAAGGAGCTGCGTCAGGATGGTGGCCAGGGAATGGGCACTCCTGGACCCCAGCCACACCCGGACCTCGACCCAGGCAGAGCCACCATGACACTCGGGCCTGCAAAGTGCTAGGTCCCCCAGATGACACACGGCTCAGAGACCACAGCCCTTTGGAAGCTCCCACCTGAGTCATTCCTCTTCCTGGTGGCCCTCCTTCCCTGGGCTCCTTAGCTCTTGCTCTCCAACCCCTGCAGCTGATGGTGTCCTGACTTCCTACTCCCCAGGGCACTGTGAGTTCTAAGAACAAAGACCGTGTCTTCACTGCAGCCTGACAAACAGCGCCCAGCCCGCGTCTGACTCACAGAAGGTCCTCGGTACAATACGGATTAAGGATAGAGATTGGATGGGTGGATGGATGGTGAATGGCGGGGGGGGTGGACGGGTGGTGGGTGGAGGGTGGGTGGGTGGAAGGGTGGATGGATTGTAAATGGGGGGGGTGGACAGGTGGTAGATGGGTGGATGGATGTTGAATGGGGGGTGGATGGATGGGTGGATGGGTGAGTGGAAGGGTGGATGGATGGTAAATGGAGGGGTGGACGGGTGGTGGATGGGTGGATGGATGGTGAATGAGGGGGTGGATGGATGGGTAGATGGGTGGGTAGAGAGTGGATAGAAGGAAGGGTGGATAGATGGTGAATGGGGAGGTGGATGGATAGATGAGTGGGTAGAGGGTGGATGGATGGTGAATGGGGAGGTAGATGGATGGATAGATGAGTGGGTAGAGGGTGGATGGATGGTGAATGGGGAGGTGGATGGATGGATAGATGGCTGGGTAGAGGGTGGATGGATGGTGAATGGGGGGATAGGTGGTGGATGGGAGGATGGATGGTGAATGGATGGTGCATAGGGGGTGGAGGGTGGATGGAAGGAAGGATGGATGGATGGTGAATGGGGAGGTGGATGGATGGATAGATGGGTGGGTGGAGGGTGGATGGACGGTGAATGGGGGGGTGGATGGGTGGATGGATGGTGGATAGGTGGGTGGAGGGTGGATGGAAGGAAGGGTGGGTGGATGGTGAATGGGGGGGCAGATGGATGGATAGATGGGTGGGTGGATGGGTGGATGGAAGGAAGGGTGGATGGATGGTGAATGGGGGAGTGGATGGATAGATAGATGGGTGGGTGGATGGAAGGAGCGGTGGATGGAGGATGAGCTCTCTGTTAAGGTAGCTCCATGAGAGTAGATCAGCTAGAACAAGGTATGGGTCTTCTGACAGCTGCTTCCTGCAGCTATTCCCTATGAAAACGGTGGCAGTTGATCTTGAATCCTCAGGCTGAAC